ACTGTCTCTCTGGCCATCTGCCTGTCCCAGTGGCTTAAACTGAAGGTCCCTTCCTGATGGATCCCTGACCCCTCCTCTGGCCTGAAATGTGGCATAATGAGGAGACCAAGAAGCCAGAGGGACCCTTGGGTTCCCGGTGTGCTAGCCCTGCCCCGGCTGCTCTCCTTCCCAACCCCACTTCTCCCAGCCTGATCTCCCAGCTACAGCCCCTTCTGTGGAGAGCCAGGCCTTCTGTGCCCAGGGAAGGCTGGGGCACTGGGAGAGGGAATCTGGTGACAACTGCACAGCCAGAAACAGACACATGAGCAGGGAGCAGGGAGACAGGGAGTCTTAGCCTTGTGGAACAGCCCTCAAAGGGCCCCAGAACCCACGAGCACAAGGACACACCTGAGCTGAATTCCTCTCCTCTGGCTGCTCTGGGCAACCCGGGCTGCTGTGAACAGCCTGGAGGGACAGATGCTCTTTCCTCCACATGGGCACCTGGCCCGGGCGCGGCAATCTTGTAGCCACAATGTCGGGGCTCCAGATGGGACAGTGGGAGGTGGCCCAGTGTTCTGCAGAGAAAGCACGTCCTCTTCGCCGTCCCAGGGCAAAGCAGGCTGGACCGCTGGCTTCCCAGGCCCTCAGAGCCACTGTGTCGCCCTCAGGGTGGAGGAGGTGAACTGGGCTGCCTGGGAGCAGACGCTGCCTACAGTGTGTGAGGAGCCGTCAGAGGCAGGTGTCCCTGGTGAGTAGCCATGGTGGCTGGAGCCCCTGCCCTGTGTGTGTGTGTGTGTGTGTGTGTGTGTGTATGTGTGCGCGCGCGCGCGTCTGTTTGCTTGGCCACACAGCCTTGCTGAGTCTGGGGCAGGGCCTGAGGGCCTCCTCCGTGGCCACTTTGCAGCTCCCCTCCATGCCAGCTCCTCTCACAGGGGCTGCCCCCTTAGCATGCGCTTTCTCCTGTCCTTTCCAGCCCCATGCCTTTGGTGGCCAGCTTTCAGGCAGTCACCTGGGAAACACTCTGAGGCCATTAGTGCTCCCTGCTGCCCTTGCTCCCGCCCATCCCCTCCTCCTGTCTGGCTTGCAGTCACTTGCACTGGGCGCCTGTTCCAGTGGCTATTGCGGGCCTGCCCCAGCCAGGCCTGGGCTGAGCCTGGGGCCCCGGTAGGGAACAAGTTAGGAAGGGCCCCTGCCCAGCTCACAGCACAGCCAGAATCTCCCTGGGCCTCAGAGGCACTGCCCTGTCCGCAGGCCAGCCTCACTGACCCCGGGTTTCCCCCCAGCCCCTTCACACCCCAGGGGAAGCCCCATGCCAGGCCCTCCCCACCTCTCAGGGCCTGTATCCTCGTCCTCTCTGTTCTAGTGTACTGACAGCCCCTTCTGTCCCCACCCTGCTGCTTCCGCCAGGACAGATGCCTTCCTCCCACCCTCAGAGGTCTGTCCTGAGGATCGGTTCTCCCCACAGCTACCCTTTCTTTCCAGAACCTTCAGTCGCTCCCACCTCATCTTCCATTGGTTCTCTTCCTCTCCTTTCTCCTTCTCTTTCCCAGCAAGTTTCACCTGCTTCTGCCTGTGCCCCCCATCCCCCACCAGCCTCCTGAGTCGCCTGTGATCCCTGATGTGTGGGGGCTCTTCTGACCTCTTCTTCCCCAGAGCCTGCTGGTTTTCCAGGCTCCTGGGCTGACTGTGGCCCTCACATACCAATAGGTTTCCTTCCTACCCTTTCTGTGTGTCTCCCTCCCTTCACTTCACCTTGTCCCTCAGCTTGCACCAAGCATTCCACATCCCCATCCCACACCCTACTGCCCGCTGGGGCCTCTACCTCGACATTACCCAATGGGAACAGCCTTGGGGCTGCCCCACCAGGTCACATGTCTGTAACCCCACCTCCTCCTCACCCAGGTGGGAGGCCTTGAGGATCTCTGTGCATCCCTCCAAGACCGGCTCTCCCACCTGGAGCTGAGCGTCCTTGCCCTCCCAGGTCACCACGCATTCCTCTGCCCCACCCCTCGCTTCTGCTTCTGCACCACTGCAGGGTGGCCCAGCCTGCGCCCACATCTTCAGACAAGTCTTTCTGCTCCAGGCTTATCGTACTCCAACCCTGCTAATGCGGACAAAAACTACACACAGCTCACATTACACAATGCCTCCCACTGCCTGGAAGGCCACACTCCTCAGCGTGGAGGGCAGGGCCCAAAGCTGTCATCCAACCTAGTTCCCACACCTCTGCCCACATGCCAGCTGGCCAGTCGGTCTGCAGTGCTTCTTGTTTGTTGCTTTCCTTGGCTCTTGTCTCTGTTGGAAGTGTCCTTCTTCCCCTCTGGGTGTCCAAATGTACCACCTCCCCTGCAGGATAGGTCCTCTCTCTTCTGAGCCCCCTAAGCACCTAACTCACTTCCTTCCAGCTCTTCAGCATGTCTCAGGTGTTCAGGTCTCTGACATACAAGCCTGTCACCTCTAGGGACTTTAAGCTTCTGGGGGAGGCTCCTGACTGGCACATGGCAGGGGTTCTGGAAATGCTCATGGAAGCAGGGAGGAAGGGAGGGACTGTGGGGCTCCAGGATCACCAGCTGTCCACAGGAGATGATCTGCTTTCATGACTGTGGCCCCTTCTATTTCCCCAGCGCCTGCCTCCTGGGCACACACGCAAGGGTCAAGTCACAGTGATCCCCATTTGTTTACAGGTGCGATGAGGGACCTCACTCTGGCCTCCCGACCTGGGCAGACTGGTGCCTTGGAGGAAGACCATGTGCCCCTCCAGCCTCTCCAGTCCCACTGATGGCCTAGATGCAGCAGGAGGCCAGCAGGACCAAGCAGGGGATTCTTCTAGCCACACCTACAGGCTCTGGGGCCCCAGTGAATTTTGGTGGCAAATATAAATATTGTTTTCACAACTAACTCTTCTGGAAACATTACTTGAGCAAAGTTGCTGGGCCCCTTGGGCTGGTAATGTCTGCATGTCTCTGTGTGCACACGTCTGTGTCTGGGGCTAGGCTTCTGTCTTTGCCTGGGCACAGAGACCCTCAGCTACTGCCCCAGTCCTGGGACTGTCCTCTTCCTGGGTACAGGCAGCTGGCCAAGGTGCTGTGCCCACTGTGATGGCAGACACGGTGGTGGACATGGGCAAACACAGCCACCAGACACCCATTGAGAGACTCCAAAATGTTTCTCAAACCTAGGCTCCTTTGAGCTCTTTGGCTTAGTTCAGTCTCTGGATCATGGCTGTCTCTCCCCACTGGGCTTCCTGCTCCATCCCACTCCTCCAAGCCATCCTCTGCAGGACATCCAGAGGGGCCTTCCTAAGACAAAGACAAACATGTCACCTCTGTGCTCTGAAGGCCTGAGAGGCTCCCCAGTGCCCATGGAATGCCCTAGCTGGCATCCCCAGCCCTCCATGGTTTTGCCCAAGCCATTTCCAGACATCTCTTCCTCTATGTCCCAGTCCTCCCCCTTTTCCCCCCTTGGCACTCTCACCAAATTCTTCATGCAGTTTGAGGGACCTCTTGTTTGACCCTTTGACTTGGCTCCTCCATGAGGCCCCCCACCTCCATTAAAATCCTACTTATTTCTGAGGCCACCTTAAAAGTTGCTGTCTCATGACTGCCTTTCCAGTTTTCTGCAGTCGAAATGAATTGCTCTACTTTGGTGTAACATTTGTGTGCAAAATGTGTATGCATGGACTTGTTACAGCCCAACAAGGTTCACTGCCTGCTGCTCAAGAGGAAGCCAATACACGGAGACAGCAGGGATTACAGCGGAGAAAGAGTTTCATATCAGAGGCGCCACTCGAGGAGATGAGAGGAATTTCTCAAATCTGTCCTCCGAGAATTTGGGAGAAAGGGTTTTTAAAGATAGTTCAGCAGGCAAAAGGCAGGCAATGGGGTCTGCGGATTGGCTGGGTGGGAGTGGAATCATGGGGGTGTAGAAATTGTCTCCTTGTGCTAAGTCAGTTTCTGGGGAGGCCAGTGACAAGACCAGTTGAGTCAGTTCTTTGGTACCCGTCAGCTGGTCCGCGAGAGTGCAGGGCCTGGAAGATATCTCAAAAACTAGTCTTAGGCTTCACAAGAGTGATGCCATCTACGGGAGCAATGAAGAAAGGTAAGACTCCTTATGGTCATCAGCTGTGTGACTCCTGAGTAGTGAGCAGTTATAGGAAAAAAGCTAGGAAGCAATGGCTGGTTATATATTTATTTTAACTACGCCTATACCTTTGCAGAGTTCAGGCCCTACCAGTTCCCACCATGGCCTTCATTGATACCATAAGGGGCGGTTTCAGACTGAATGCTTTTTGAGTAGGAGACCTGCGCATGTTCATATGGTGAAAGAAAAACGTAAGCAGAGAGGGAGAGTTTCCTTCGCAGGTGAGATGGGGCACGGATGGAGAGTCCAAAGGGAATCAGGAGAGGCAGGGAGAGGCAGGGCTCTACCCCAGACGGGAGAGGATGGACGTGGATCCAGATAAGACGTCTGATGGGTCCTTAAAGTGACGGGTCCAGAAAGTGATGAGGGTTGTCAGCGCTAAGGGGTTTGAGAGGCTCCGTGGATATTTTGAAATCATTGTGGGGAGGGGTAGACTGGCAACGCTTATTGTAATAGATTTGGAAGCAGCTCCTGCTTGTGAATGCTTGCTGTGCCGGGGCTCTGCAGAGTGTCAAGTGTGTTCGCTCAGGTGATCTTCAGAAAAACCTCCTGGGGTGCAGGTGTCTCCATTTTCCAGATGAGCAATCTGGAGCTGACAAAGGAAGAGTAATTCGCTCAAGACCAAGTCGCTGAGGCGTAGCGGAGGCGGGACCGAAGCCCGCGCTGCGGTCCTTGCGCAGGCGCCGTGGAACTCACCGCGCGCTTCGTGACCCAGAATTCCCCGGGCCAAGGGAGAGACCACAGGCTCAGTAGGACGGGGGAGTCCTCAGTAATGCAGAGAGTCTGTATTGTTAAGTGGCGTGAGTCTTTACCGGTATCCCCCTCCTTTCTGTGAGGAATGAGAAATTCTGACTCCTTAAGGGGCTGGGGCCCCACAACCACGGCCTTTTCGCCGTAGTTGTGCGATGGAGGTGGGTTGGCTTTGCGGCCGGGGCCGGTGGCTGGCGGTAGGGGCAAATAAGGAGCTAGAGCCCTTCTGATCTCTGGAGAGGCGTCTCCGGGAAGCTTAGCTGGAGGGCGGGGGCGGCCGCGGCAACGGCATGTCTCCCGCGCCTGCGCTCACGTGGGCTGCGGGGCCTGCGCTGCGGCGGGCGCTCGGCCGTCTCGCAGGGGGGACCCAGCCACCGTGGGCCGGGGCTCATGGAGCGCGTGTTTTTCCGGCACGGCCACCGCCGCAGTAGCCTGGGATCCGCGAAGGCCGGGACTCGGTTATCCGGCCCGCCGTGGGAAGTGGGCAAACGCGAGAGAACTGGGTAAGTGGGGGTCTGCCTGCAGTTTGGGGTGCCCGGAGGATGCTGCACGTGGGTAGGGCCTTAGTGGCACCACGCGGAAGTCTTGCTCGACTGTCCTGATGATACCGGTAATAGGAAGTGCCGTCAGAAACGATAACTGACGACGTTTATGCGTGTCTGAACACAGTCAGTGAAACCTCCACAGTTTAGTTGGGCGTAACTGCCAGAATCTGCCCTAAATTCTTGACCTTATTCCGTTTCAGTTGGCGAACGCACTGCAGAGTGAAATCAGGGTAACCATGAGGTAAGATGTCCGTCTGGATAAGGTTTAATATGTAACCTAGTTGTAATTTTATCTTCAGTGTGCTGAAATTGATGTTTTGCAGTTGTAAGTTCTATACGTTGAACATTGTGTCAAGCCATCACATAGTGCGAAGCATTCCTAACCTAGAACTGCATCTAAACCAAAGCTGTAAGTGGAAACAAAGTCTTTCCTTAAATGTCTCCAGTGGCTGTTTTAAGGCAATTTTACATTAGATTCAGGTAGCGTCCAGGTCTCTGGTTAGAGCAATACCAAAGAGTGGTGAGGTGTTTTGACTGCTCTGATGAAATCACTAATAGGAAGTGCCGTCAGAAGCGATAACTGACGATAACTGCTCCTGTCTGACTGCAGTCAACAAGACCTGGCCAGTTGCTGTTTCGGAGTAAATTTGTCTGAACTGTGACCTACTTGCTGTGTTCATCCAGGTTGCAAATTGGTGAAGGATCACCAGCATGTTCAGTCGCTGAGTATTGGACACAGGAGCAGTGGTCTTCCGTGAGGTAAGTTTTGTTCTGTGGAGAGTGTTATCTGCTAAAAACTATAGTTTTCCCAATCCGTGAAAAGTAAAAGCTACCTTAGCTTTGTGATGTTTAAAATGATGAGACTAAATGAAGGTTATAACTCCCAGAAAAGCTCAATTAGGACTTGTAGACTTTGATCAATCTGCCAAAATGCACCTCCTAAAAGGTCTTAAGGGGCTCGTTAGGATGGACTTAAATTTGTAAATTTATAGTTGAGGCTCTCAGAAGTGTCTCGTCTGCATCTGCAGTCTGTCTGAAGTGTGTGTGCCTTCTCCATTCCCCCAGGTTTTGAGTACTCAGTGCTGGAGTGCACAGGTCCAGAGCCGGCAGCCACAGCAGCTCAGCCCAGGAGGAGGAGGTAAGCCTTGATCTGGGCAATGACCCCATGGTAGAATGAATAAACAGCTGGTTTTGTTAAAATTGATTTGAAGAAAAGGATATCATATGATGAAATCACCGAAAATAGCTGGAATTACCGGCAGATTGTGTAGTGGTGAGCCTGTGGTTTTCTGAAGATATCTTTTGTCCTGTGAGTGGCTGTTAGTTAGAGCAGAAAGTGAAATTGAAATTTAGTTTCTTTATAGGCTGTGTCCCCAGAGGATGGATGTCAGTCTGAAGGACCAGTGGCTGCCATCAACTTGGATTCTGAAAATCTAACCGGCTTCAACATTTGGTGTAGAAACATGCTTGCCTTGTATCAGGACATTCTCAAGTCAAGAGATGTATTGGGCAACTTTTTTCTAGAACAGGCACATTTGGTATCATTCATAAAGTTTTCTAGCACTGTTCCTTGCCAGCCTGCCCAGTAGGAGCTTCTATACCTTTTAACAAACATACTTAATACAAATTGGTTGTTACATTGGGGGGCAAGTTCTTTAAGCTGAAAATTGTTAATTCCTCCTGAAAGTAATGTTTTCATTCATTTACCATGAGCTAATACTATAATAAAAGATACCATTTGATATTGATTCTTAAAAATGTGTATTTGAAGAAAAAGCAAATTTGACTACTGCTGTCAGGTATCAGCAGTCCAGATATTAGCACTCAAGCTTATAAACTTCCCTGTAGTCAGTCTAAGCTCTTTGCTGTTAACAACTTTAGACTTTGAGGGCAAAAATTTCAGAGTATCTAAGGCATCTACACACTTAATTCTAATCCCCGCTGCCTCTGGGCTCTGTCCCTTTGCATGGCTTCCCTCTAGCTCCTTGAAGCATTTGAATCACTCCTAGCTAAAACCCTTAACAGCACACAAGGCCCCACAGTCTAGGTCCATTTTGTTGCCTTCTTGTGCTGGAATCTTGCCTGCCTGGCTTGAGGCCCATCAGGTTAGACTGATTGGCTCCCAGTCTCCCTGAACTAAACCATACTTAGGACTAGGGGTTGCCTGTTATGTCTAGATGGGACTCTTTAACTGGTGGAGGCCTTTCAGCAGAAGTGTTTGGATGAGGGAGGGGGGTGGGGTAGGTGAAAACCGTTGCCAAATTGGCTCTCTTGGGAACCTCCGGTGACTTCCTCCTTTCCCAGCTGTCTTGCTTGGGTCTACCAAGAATTTGGACTCAACTTCGTGGTCCCGGGTTTTTAAGAGCCTTTTGTAGTAGGCTTTAAGGAATGTTCTCAAAGTACGGGTTGATGGCAAGTATGATAGGGGAAGGAAGCAAAGCTCATCTCTGACCTTAACATTAAGGACACTGGAGCCCACTTGAAGGCCTGGCAGTTTTGGGGGGATGGATTTCTTACTGGGCCTTTCCATGCATACCTGTGTGCCCTAAGCACTGCCACACAGCGCCTAAGTGTTGAAGGATATAGTGGTGACAGCTGGCTCCCTGGGCAGGCACCTAGACTCACAGACAAGTCAGTTCCAAGGAGCCCGAGGCTCCATGAGGAGGTAGACCACTTCAGTCCACCCTCAGCGTAGATGGAACTAGGCTCCTCCCCCCAGGTTCTTCAGTTGGGAGTTGTGAAGATTGCGACCTCCTTAGAATGGGGACACATTTAGCATCTGGCGGAGTTTACTCCTCCAGATAAAACAAGTGTTATGCAGGAAAATCCTGTGTTACTTGTAGGGACCCAAATATTTTGGGGGAGGGTTCTTGGCGTTCACATTGGCTCAAGCTGCTGGCACCTCCAAACCACATGCGTGTTTCTGTAATTCTTCGGGGAGGCCCAGGGCTGAGCTGAGGGGTATGAGGAGCCTCTAGACAGGGATGACTTGTTACAAGCCAAAAAGGCAGGTAATGGGATTCATAGGGGGCAGATGGAGAGGAACCAGAAGTATGACAAATCCCCTTTTCCTGTTGGTACGGTCTTCGTTTCTGTGGGTGGGTTGCCCAGGCCAATTTTGATGATAGCCTGAGCCTCCTAGCGTGAGCAGCCCCCAACCTGCTCTGCCCTGGTCATCGTACCCCACAAGGGCTCCCTGGTGAGGCCCCTCACTTCTGTGTCACGTCTGGCCTGCAGCTATAGTCTCCTTGCCCTCGTGGTCTTTGGCTGGTGCCACAGGGCTCCCTCCAGGGTCCTGGCCCACTGTCCCTTCCCGGGCCTCCTCCCCACTCCCTGGGCCCTCGCCCAACTCCAAGATGGTGGGTAGGTGGCCCTGCTTTGGGGAGCGCTTGCGCAGGCTGAGCAGGAAGGGCTGGGGCAAAGAGAAGATGTCCACATTGTTGCCCAGGTCGATCCACGTGACATTGGGGAACTTGCTGGGGTCCTTAAGGGTGTCTGTGAGATCCCGCAGCAGGGCCCGGGTCAGCCGGTTGCCGTTTAGTGCCAGTGTGGTGAGGCGGGGCAGGGTGCTGAGTGCTGGCAGCAGCTGCAGGACCATGTCATCCGTGAGGCCTGTGAAGCCCAGCTCTATGCTGTCCACCTGCTCCCCGCAGCGCTGCAGGTAGCTGGTCACCCGTTCCAGGTCGCGGGAGGTTAGCGGGATGCCTGACAGGTCCACTGTGTTATCTGGAGGGTTTCCGGCCAGGACAGCCTTTAGGCTGAAGGGAAAAGGGACAAGCAAAGTTAAGCACATGGGACAAGGCTTTCTCTCAGAGGCAGCAGTGGCTACTGCCAGGGGGCCAGCCTCTGTTTGGCTCTCTGCCTCTAGGGATCATTTTCACAAAACTTGCAGTGTAGGAGTGGGAGAAACCAGGGACCTCCGATTCCCTGGCACCACGCCACATCTCCGCTGGCTGGGCCCAGCTGGCCAGAGCCCAAGGTCTGCAGCTGCCCTTCCTGCAGGACCACAAGGGAAGGGCCTGAGTTTCTGCCTGACACCCAGGTTTGCATCTTCACTCCTTTTCTTCCTACTCTGACCTTTAGTGACTTAACCTCTCTGTACCTCAGTTATTTACCTTAAAAATGGAGTTAATGGGGTTGTTATGTGAAATGAATTAATAAATGTAGAACATTTAGAACAATGTCTTGTATAGGTAAGTGATGAACACACATTTGCTGCTGCTATTATTAATCACTTGGGCTGAGCTTCCTGCTTCCGCCACCCTTGGGTGGCAGCTAAGCTGCCCCCATGAGTGGCACAAAAGATCTCCTTCACGACCATCTTCCCCACCCTATGGGGGATCCCTAGGGCCAACCTGTAGGACTGCAGGCAGGGGAGGGTGCAGGGGCTCCGAGCCTGGAGGCCGAGTCCTCTCCACGCCCCACTCCCTGCCACCTGCCCACCCTCCTTTCTTGCCCTGGGCCAGAGCACGCTGCTCAGGCCGACGCGAGTGTGCCCTTTCCACCACCCCTCTCTGTTTGCTGGCGTTGGTGAGATATGCCCTGGGAAGGAAGGAGGTGGAGGGGCTCCCAGCCTGCTCAAAGAGCACACGTTAAGGGTCACAGCCTGGACTTCCTGGCAAGGTAAGGCAGGTCTCTATCCTTGAGATCTGAAGCAGGAGGCTGTCCCCAGTTTGCTCATTTCACCTCTGACTGGGGTCCAGCCTCAGGGAGTTTGAAGGTGAAGCTTTCATGTGACATTTAAGTGCTTGGAACACTGCCTGGCATATATTCAGTGTGATTTAAGTGTTGGCTACTGTTATCAGTGCCATTAATAAAGCAGACCCATTACACACGGGGAACGGTGTGGTGGTGACAGCCTGAGCTAGGTTTGAATCCAGCGCCACCACTTTCCGGCTCCGGGCTGTTTGTGGACCAGCAGGAAGGTTAGTGTAGCTGGGGGCCAGAGGGAGACCAGAGGTGAGACCAGAGTGGGGGAAGGGCAGGCCGCACAGGGCCCTGTCTGGATTTCATTTTAAGTGTGATGAGAAACCACCGGAGGGGAATGAGACCTCATTTCTGTGGCTTCCAAATGAAGAATGAACTGAGTGTGTGCATGTGTTGGGGAGACAGAAAAGGCTCCTAGATTCCAGCTAGTCAAACTTGCAGATTTTCCACCCCAAAGAACTAGCTCAGTCTCCTCGTGGCATTCAAGGTACCATGGGCCCCCTGTCCTGCTCCATCCCCATGTGTGGAACCCCTGCCGTAGCCAGCTCCATAGAGCATCCCAGGATCCGTCTCTCCCAGTTTTGGGGGTGGGGGTGGCCAGAACAGAAGGAGGCGCCAGAGCTCTTTCTTCTCCGTGAGGGAGGGAGAGAGTCCTTCCCTCCCCGATCTGCAGGGAACTGCAAGGATGAGCCAGCAGCAGCACCAAGGCCTTGCCAAAGAGTCTTTCCAACGGCCAGCGGCTCTGCCATGGTCATTTACAAAAAAAGCAGGAGTGCTTCCTCCTCCAGGAAGCCTGGCAGTCTCCTGGCACCCCACTGTTTCCTGCAGTACCTAGGAGTTGTATGTAGCTCACAAGTTCTATGTCCTATGTGGTCCCTTACTTCTCCCTGATCTTCTTTAGGGGCCCTCCAAGCCCCTGAGGGTCCTTGCTGCTATATGGACCAGGGACAGGGCTGGGGTCTGGGCCCCGCTGGGGGTATCTGAGAGCACTGGGGGGTTCAGTTGGGAGGGCCCACTTTTAGCACACCAGGTGTTAGAAACTGCTCACGTCACCACCCCCTCCCCAATCAACTGCCCACCCCATCCAGCTCTTCTGTGCTTATGCCCACCTGGAATGCCCTCCTGGCTGTGCCCCTGCCTGAGTCCTCCTTCCAGGATGACCCCCTCTGGCTCTTTACCCTGTCCCTTCCCCCTGCCGGGAGAGGCGCCGTGTATCACACACTCAGCTTGGCAGAGACCCTCCTAGGGACCACCACTCACCAGGCCTGCGGCTTCCTCTTCACCAGCCCCCGGTGCTGCCTCCACTGGGAGTGGGGGCTGAGGTGGTACGTCAGCTGCCGGCACAGCTTCTCCATGGCGCCTAGTGCGTCACCTTCCTGCAGAGGCAACCACAGACGGTGGGGCCCTGAGTCACTGGAGCAGCTGGGGGTGCACTGGCCCTGTCCCCAGGCTTCCTGTCACCCTGGCACTACAGTACCCCAAGGCTGAGTGGGCAGGTTCCTGCTCTGCCAGCCCAGGGTGGGCACCCCTAGCAGACAGCAGTGGTTGCAAACTGGTCTGCACAGTGGTTTTAGTCTTTGTGGATTCGTTGCCAGCACTCAAAACCTGAGCTTTATCTAAGAGTCTGCATTCTAGGTGGTCTGACAATAGTTGGCTGGAGCTGAGTGCCCACCGGCCCCTTGGCCAGGACCCACCCGGGTCCCTCCACTCCCCAAGGGCCATCCTGTTCATTCACTTGCTCAACAAATATTATTGAGCACTTACTAGGTGCCAGGCACTTGTTCTAGGAAGCTGGGATTCGGCTGTCAACAAATGTCCTGTTCTCGCATTTCACACAGTAAAGAGGAAAGTGGAATATTTTTACCTATGTCTCTCTCAAAAGTGGGAAGATAAAAGAATGAGGGGTCAAGTCTTTCCCAGCTCCATTCACTCATCCATGTTACGTGTCTGGGCCATCCGCATTTGAGTTTGAGGCCCCGGGTAAGATGGGCTGAACTGTGTCCCCCAGAAATCTATATGTTGATGTCCTAACCCCTTATACCTCAGAATGTGACTGTAATTGGAGACAGGGCCTTTAAGGAGGTGGTTAAGGTAAAAATGAGGCCATAGGAGTTGGCCTTATTCCAATAGGCCTGGTGTCCTTATAAGAAAAAATTAGGGCCCAGAGAAGCACAGAGGAAAGACCACGTGAGGGCACAGAAGGAGGCTGTCTACGAGCCTAGGAGAGAACGTCGGGAGAAAACGGACCTGCCAGCCTTGGACTTCTGGCCTCCAGAAGTGTGAGAAAATAAACGTCTGCGGTTTCAGTCACCCAGTCTGTGGCATTTTGTTAGGGCAGCCCGAGCAGAGCGAGACTCTGGGTTAAAGGATGCAGCAGAAAGATACTAGACAGACTCCAACTCCGACACCCAAGAGAAGTCAATCCAGCCGTCCCCTGGGCCAGAGCTGCTGGGCAAAGGGGGCATGAACCCCGTCTGGGAGGGAGTGTGGGCCAAGAGTGTGCTCCTGCCACACCATGCAGTACCACGGCCAGGGCCAGCGAGAGCCAGGCTCGGTGCAGAGACCCACATGTGGCCAATAGCTCGGGTGTGGGAGGAACGCACTGGCCTGTGCAGCGCCTGGCTACACAGTGAGCACACAGCGGACGCTGCACCATGCGACTCCCAGGATGGCTCTGCTAGTGGAGAAGCCGCGCACTGAGTGTGTTGCTCTTAACTAAGAGCCTGCACTTGGGGCCAAACTGCGCGGATTCCAGTCCTGGCTTTGTCCCCTCTTGCGTGGTCTTGGGCAAACACTTGACCTCTCTGTGCCTCCGATCAGCATCTGTGAAGGGACCTCACGAGAGTTTTTGTGAGGATTAAGTGAGTTACTACTGGTGCAGTACTTTGAATAGAGCCTAACACACAGCCAGCTCGCCGGCACGCTCGCTAAACGAACACTGTGCTGTACGGCAAGGGCGGACCAGCGCTGAACTCCGGCAGGGTGAAGAGGGAGATTACTTCTGCCCAGGCTCAGATTGGAGCTCAGCTTTTAAGAGCAGGTGGGTTAGTGATTTCGGATGGAAAAAGGAAACATGAGTCGTCCCCGAGTGAGGAGAAAACAGTTTGAGCAAGGGCTTGGGGGTGTGGGGAGGGTTGAGGCTTTGGGCTTGGGACCTGGGTAGAAGACGGGGCTTCAGAGAAGAGGGTGCAAAGGCAGGGCAGGGGATGACCCGCTCATGTGGGGCCACGATTAGTTTGAGGGGCCTATGGGACCTCCAGCTGGGGGTGCCACTGGATTTATGGGGCAGGGGCTCCGGACAGGTCTGGGCTGGGCACATCCATCTGCATCTGATGAGCATCCCTGGCCAGGCAATGAGCCGAGGGGATGCAGGAAACACCAGACACACAGGAGTCAGAGCAGGAGAAGGAAGCAGAGCCCGGGCCCCAAGGAGAAGGGTGGCCGGCAGGGTCAGACCCCCACAGAGGCCACTGGGTCTCCAATGAGGAAGCCTTGGCCGGCACAGGCTCAGGAAGGGGTGGCTGTGGTGGGGGTCAGGGTGAAGGCCAACTTGCAAGGCCAAAGGGAGAATGGGAGGTGACACAAGAGATGGCACATCTAGGACCACAGTTCCCCACCTTAGAACCTTGCACGCCGGGGGGAGCTTTAAAAGACACTGATGTCCTGGCTGCCCAAGTGATGGTGGGCAGCTTGGGCACAGGGATTTATTATATAAAAGCTCCCCACTGTGGCGAAGCACCGGTTCAGGCGCTTTAAGGATAAGCAGGTGGGATCAGGTGGTCTGGCCAGCATCATGCTGGGACCCCCCCACCCCAAGGACAGAACGTTGCCAGTCTCCAAAGTTGAGAACTGAGCTCCTCCAACCGCTTCCAAGGGTTTCCAAGGTCTGGGCCATGGATGGACTCTCCCTCCACCCTCTAGGCCTGCGCAGCCTGAGCCTCAAAGGAAGGGAACAAGGAGAGAGGAAGAGGAGGCGTCAATGCCGGGCCACTGCCACAAGGAGGCAGCCGCGCACAGGGCGAGGCTTGGGACGGCAGGGCTGGGCCGCTACCTGGGAGCCCAGCTCCTTGCAGGGTAAGCAGGGACAGTAGATTAGCTCTATTAGGGGACGCCTAATAGAGCTGACTTGAGACTTAGACATGCGCTAATGTTCTCACAGAAGTGAGTTCCTGTCTGCTTGTCGAACTGAATAAACAATAGCTAACAGGCCAGGTGCGGTGGCTCACGCCTGTAATCCTAGCACTCTGGGAGGCCGGGGCAGGAGGATTGCTTGAGCTCAGGAGTTCAAGACCAGCCTGAGCAAGACTCCATCTCTACTAAAAATAGAAAAATTAGCCGGGCGAGGTGGTGTGTGCATACAGTCCCAGCTATCTGGGAGGCTGAGGCAGGATAGCTCAAGCTCAGGGGTCTGAAGTTGCTGTGAGCTAGGCTGATGCCACAGCACTCTAGCCACGGCGACAGAGTAAGAGTCTGTCTCAAAAACAACAGAAAAATCCCCAATAGCTAACATTTATGGAGCATCGGGGACACATTGGGCATCCCTATGCACTGCGTGTATGAACTTGTTGGGGCTCAGAACACAATACCCCAAAGTAAGGCACCTTGGCATGCCAAGGACTTTGAACAAAAGGACACAGGAAGGGCTCAGAAGCAAGGTCTCTCTGCCCTTCTCCCTGAGCGAGTCATAGAAACCAGGATTCCTCTTCCCCAAGGCAGGTCATAGAAACCAGAGACCTGGCTGGGTGCAGTGGCTCACGCCTGTAATCCTAGCACTCTGGGAGGCCGAGGTGGGAGGATTGTTTCAGGCCAGGAGTTCGAGACCAGCCTGAGCAAGAGTGAGACCCATCTCTACTAAAAATAGAAAAATTCAGTGGGAATGGTGGTGCACATCCGTGGTCCCACTACTTGGGAGGCTGAGGCAGGAGGATTGCTTGAGCCCAGGAGTTTGAGGTTGCTATGAGCTAGGCTAACGCCATGACACTCTACTCAGGGAAACAGAGTGACTCTGTCTCAAAAAAAAAAAAAGAAAAGAAAAAAAGAAACCAGAAACCCTGTCCCCCAAAGCCAGCCACACAAAACCTAGAAAGGAGCAGGGAGGGAGGAGGAGGGAGGAGGGAGGAGGGGATGGGTCTATGCATACACAAAGAGTGCGATGTGCACCGTCCAAGGGATGGACACACTTGAAACTCGGACTTGGGAGGGGGAGGGAGGGCAAGGGGAACATACGTAACCTAAACATCTGTACCCCCATAATATGCTGAAAAAAAAAACCTAGAAAGGTCACTCTCTCCCTTTTCCCTTGAAGACCCTCATTCCAGAGGGGTCCTGTCCCATACCTGGGAGGAAGGACCGCTACACAGGCCAAGAAGAATCTGAGCAGACGGGCCTTGCTGGGCTCCCCTCCGCCTACTGCCGTTACTGGAGCAGACCCTTTGTCCAATCACTTTTCTACACGGCCGCCCATTCTCCATCAGACCTAAGCATAAAAATAGACAGTTTTCCCTGGGTCTTGGGGTCTTCAGTCTTCACTTTTTTTTGTTTTAGAGACAGGAGTTGCCCAGGCTGGAGTGCAGTGGTGCAATCATAGCTCACTACAGCCTCGAACTCCTGGGCTTAAGTGATTCTCTCACTTTAGTTTTCTGAGTAGCTGGGACTGTAGGCACATCATCATGCCTGGCTAATTTTTTGAGACAGGGTCTTGCTGTGTTGCCCAGGCTGTTCTTGAACTTCTGGCTTCAAGTGATTCTCCCACCTTGGCCTCCCAAAGTGCTGGGATTATAGGCATGAGCCACTGTGCCCAGTGGATCTTCATTTCTGAAGGCTCCCATGTCACATAAAACTTTGATTAAATCAATCTGTTATGCTTTTCTCTTGTTAACCTGTCTTTTGTTACAGGAGTGTCAGCCGTGACCCTGATGATGGGTGAGGAAGGGTATCACACTGTTCCACCCCTGCAAACTCATGACGGTCCTATACCTCACAACCATCCTATGGACCAGGTACTACTCACATCCCCACTTCACATCCGAGGGGAAAGAGAAGTTAACAGCACAGACAGCACAGCTTGTAGGATGGAGGCAGGATCCAGACCTCGTCAGTGGCCCCGAGGCTGGCGCTCTCCCCTGACCACCATCCACCGTGCCCCCGTGCTGGCCTCCTCCTGAGAAATCCTGTCTTTGGCTTAGGTTAGCTCAAGGTTTTTCTATCATTTACAACCAGAAAAGCCTCCAGCAAGACCACCTGATGCTTTTCCAACTCCCTCCTGCAGAGAACAGGCCGGGGTAGGCCTGGCCCAGAGTGGAGGAGGAAGAGGAGAAGGTGGGGAAGGGAGGAGGAAGAAGGGTCCTTCCTGCGGGTTGCAACACAGAGCTGCCTT